AGGCAATGTGTGATGTGTGTGGGGGGGGGAGGCAATGTGTGATGTGTGGAGCTTCTAAGGGGGGAGGGGAGAAGAAAACAAAATTCATGACATTATGAGGGGGGGCGGCATGATGGTGCAGTGTATAGCACTGTTGCCTCGCACCTCTGGGACCTGGATTCGAGTCTCCGCCTGGGTCACATGTGTGTGGAGTTTGCATGTTCTCCCCATGTCGTCGTGGGGTTTCCTCCGGGTACTCCAGTTTCCCCCCACAGTGCAAAGACATGCTGAGGCTAATTGGCGTTGCTAAATTGCCCTTAGGTGTGCATGTGTGCCCTGCGATGGGCTGACCCCCCATCCAGGGTTGTTCCCTGCCTCGTGCCCGTTGCTTCCAGGATAGGCTCCAGACCCCCCGCGACCCAGTAGGATAAGCAGGTTGGACAATGGATGGATGACATTATGAGGTCTCACAATACTTTTGTATTAATATTAATAAATGCACTGTAAATGCATGTCCAGTAAAATATGCTTCAAGTAATAGACGAGGGACGTTTAACTTTACAGTTAGGTATTTTTATGTGTATTTATTAATAATTGCATTGTGTCTATTCATTACCAGAGATATACATGGGTGACAGCAATTGAACATGAAGTGCACATGAGAACATTCAGATATTAACTAGAAATGGGGCTGTGGGAAATTACTGCATTGTATTCCCTGTAAAGCCCTGACATGTGCACCACCCATCCAAAAATACTTACCCATCAAAGGAAGGGGTACAATTAAGGTTGCACTGATACTGATATCAGTATCGGGCCTATACCGCATTAAAATTCTCATACTCATATTTGTAAATAAATTGCCGATGCCACGCACCAATACCAGTCAATGGTATTTCACTACATCAAACTGGTCGCAGCCAGTGGATGTGATTTGTTGTCCTACCCGACTTCAACGTCTAGGGGGAGACAACGAGCTGGGAACTTAATTTTGATGATCCTGTGAAATAGATCTGTACTGCTAAGGTGTCAAGGGGCGGAAATGAAAGTACATCATTTAACACCAGCAATTTAATTAAACACCTGAAGACACACCGTAGTGTTAAGTACACAGTGTTCACTAATGCTAGTGCAAGACCTCAGCAAGTAACCTTAACTCAAGTTTTGCAAAAGCGAGAGAAAATGTTCAAAGACAGCTCACGGGCCATAAAAATAGGCCCTTACTCACCTTATTGCACTTGATGACCAACCACTTTCGGTTGTTGATAATGTTGAATTTCGCCGTCTTCTCTGCGTGCTGGAGCCAAGATATGAAATTCCTAGTCACCCCTACATCACAGACGTTATGTTGCCAAAGGTGTACGATGGCAAGAAAAATCACGTTAGGTCCCTGGTGCATGATGTTGCGGCATTAAGTTTCACAACTGATATATGGGCTAGTAGTGTCTACCCAATGTCTCTCCATAGTTTAACTGCACAGTGCATAGATGAGGCATTTACACTTCACCACATCATGTTACAAGCTGTAGCAAATATGTTCGAAGACATGCTACAGACTTGGGGCATCGCAAAAAGCTCCGTTCATGTTGTGCTCCGAGATAACGCAAAACATATGATTCAGGCCATGGCAGATGCTGGACTTCCTAGTCTGTCTTGTGCCGCTCACACTCTCCAGCTGGTTCTCTCTGGTTTATGAGGGCCCCCTCTCCCAGAGAAGTGTTGCTGTTGCGTTAGCTGTCGGTCGCAAAATAGTTGGGTATTTCAAACATTCTGCTTTAGTCTACTCCCGCCTTGAAGACATCCAGTTACAGAAGAATCAGCCCACAAAATGACTCCAGCAAGACATACAAACTCGCTGGAATAGCACCTTTTACATGATCCAGTCCCTGACTGAGCAGAAACGGGCACTGGGAATATATGTCTCCGAAAATGATCTCCCTGACAATCTCACAGCTAACCAGTGGACACTGCTGGAGAAGACTGCATCTGTTCTGGGTCCATTTGAGGAGTTGACGCGAAAAGTCAGCTCTTCGGATGCTCTGGCAGCAGATGTGATTCCTGCAATTACTGTGCTGCTGAGATTTCTATCTAAAGACGTATGACGACCACGGCATCAAATATGAAGGGAACGTTAGCTGCAGCTATCAAGAAGCGATTTGCCGATGTGGAAGGAAACCCTCCCTACAGCCTCGCAAGTTTACTCGATCTGAGGTAAGCCTACAGGTGTGTGTGTACGAGTATGTGCATGTGTGTGAGAGAAGAACGCTAAATAGGATTCCATGTTAGTTACTTAAATGGAAAACCGTGTGTACACTCATTCCCATGTAAAACGTAATATTCATCAATCTGAACATGAGATATGCACGATCTCACATCAAGTCCGGACGTGGTGTATACACGATTTAGAGTCGGGGGCTTGGAGCACAGTGCAGTATTCCTGTCAGAGAATTGTTACATTACGAGTTGTATTTGGAATATAGTAGCCTATATAGGACAAAACTATTCCTTCGCATTTACTGCGTTGACTGATCATATCGATAATTCGAAAGTGCAACAGTGCGTGTAGAGTCATGCATTTTCTCCAGGGACAAATGAGTATTTTGCAGTGAAATCATTTGGCATTGTAGGGCTATTTTATAATTCAAATGTTGTCTGGAAAATGACAAACTTGCGCTGGTTTCTATATTCATTTGATAAATGAGGACCATTGGCCATAAATGTTTTCTCTGTTTAGGTATAAAAGTGTTTTTTTCTCAAACATCAACATTGCTGCAAATGCCAAGGAGATGCTGATGCTTGAGCTGCAGAGATTGACTGCAGAAGAGGACAAGCAGGAAGATCGTAACCAGCATAACCGCCTACCAGAAAACCACGTTGAGACCAGGCCAGCAGCAGTTTAGACAGTATATTTGATGAAATTGCAAATGAGCAAGCATCAGCAGCACTGACCCAAGCTGCTGCAGGTTTTACTGCACAATTAGAGACCTATCTTGGAGAGGCCCCACTGGCCCATGAGGACAAACCATTGCGATACTCGGAGGTGAACAAAGTGCGGTTCCCTTCTCTGGCGAAAATGACATGCAGATACCTTTCAGCACCGTATAGTAGCGTTGACAGTGAATGGCTGTTTAGCTCTGTCACATATTGTGAATGAAAGCAGAAACAGGCTAACACCTGATCACGCAGAGATGATTCTTTCATCAAAAAAAATCTGACCCTCACTTTCCCAAAAAATACATAGCCTGGAGGTATTTTCTGCAAAAAATAAAATGAAAATGATAAAAAGAAAATACAATCTCCACTTTGCCGTTTAGTTTCCACAGTCTGTGTGCAAAAATCCTGCAAATAGCGTCATTTGCATTTAAATTTTCCACTCATGTATGAGTCAGATGTGAAAAAGTATAAAATAAAATTAAAAGCGCTTTGTC